GTTCACTTTTCACCAGTAATTTCAACAAGAAAGAGGCACAGTACTGAATGAAAACACAACTGTAGTACTTGTAACCCTTCACACAAGCCCCAAAAACATCTGCAAAGCTGATTGGCTGCAGCTGATTTTTTCGAAAATTGATATTGGCAAGTACCCTAAACAATTGCAGTATATTGTCTACATGGTACACATCTATGTTGATATAAGAGATACTTTAATGCACTTTATATAAACTTTTTGCTTTACATTGCGGCATCTTTCACTTCCCTCAATTACTGGTGCTAAGTGTTGCCGCATCTGCCTTGGGGCTACTAGTATGCACCAATATCCTCTCCAATCACCACCAATCACTCATTCAAACATACCATAGAGGTAAAGTGGGTGAAGTATCTTTCTTAAGGATGTATTGACACTATTGGGATTGAGATTAAACCTCCCCAGAATATATATTTAGAAGAGTCTAGAATAGATAAGAACCAAATATGTATGATATAGTGAAATAGGGCCTGAAGTAGTTTGTGTGAGATAGGGATAGTATCATTCTCTGTGGCAAACTTTAAAATGAAAAGGAAAATAAATAAAAAATTTAAAACTGAAGTAAAATATTATTGGGTCTGGTCAATTTTCAATTTGATCTGAACTTATTCTGTATACAATGAGAGATCGGTGTTCAACAAGACTGAGCCAGGTCAGCCCCATAGTCTTGTGATGGGCCACTGTCCTTGACTGCAGTAGAAGTGGTGACTCATGAATAAATAAAGTGAACGATGGCTCTTCTGGTCCGAGTGGATGTGGAGCCTCTCACAAAAGGTTAACAGCTTCTAAAAAAGGACAGATGTTTGTCTGCAGCACAAAACACCCACATCCTGCATGACCTGTTCAAAGAGTCCACAATAACGTCCAAACGCACTTCTTAAAAGGCAAACAGTGAAGTGCTTTTTTTTATCGGAGCCAGTTGTCTGCCTCATTGTATTTAGCATATTGTTATGTTTTTTAAGTGCACCATGTCGCTTTTCAGGTGCAGGGTCAGCCACCTGTTTATCTCCATGGAGATGTAACTGCTTAGCCTGGAATGTTTCACAGAATGGCATTATGGAGACAAGCAAGTGATGTCACTGGGCCAAGTTACAGGTCTTCTAGCAAAAAAAACACATAGTGAATAAAGATAGATAGGCTTCATGCCATACAGTGTACAGGCAAAGCAATAGCATCTCCATGGAGACATACAGGTGGCAGATAGCCAGGCTGGTGCCACCTAGTGCCTCCGCTCAATTTCATTTCTCTTCAGCGACTATGTCAGGAATCAGAATACACTAGACGGTTTGCAAAAACCCCGGAAGTGCGAGTACGGGCACCAGCCAATCAGCGAAGAGCCATACATTCTGTGTTGATAACAACTCCTGAGATTGAGGATTTAAAGCCGAAACAAAGATCATGTTCGATTAATTTTATCAAAGAGGTTATTGCTCTTCTTCCTACGGGATTTGGGAGAAGCTTAATATACCAGTTAGCCCCGTTAGCGGCGCATTACATATGTCACGCCCAAATAGCGGTGATTGGTTAAATGAAAAAAGTACCCCCCTACTGTTGAGTGAATAAATCCTAATGCTGTGAGATGAGACGGTTTCCACAAAGTGAAACCGGCCAATGAATCAGGCTAAATGGCAGGCACCTCACCACAAAAGTTACATACATAGTAATATAGTGCATTTTTTCAACATATTTACCCAGGCCATTTTTCGATATGTAACCTTATTGTTGTTTGATTGTCATGCATAAATCTTTTTTTTTTTTTTTTTTTTTTTTTTACTGATTTCCAACATCAATGCAATTAGGTACTAAAATGCATATTAGCCTACTGATAATTTATATAATATAAAATAATAAGTCTGAGTCATTCACACTTTTAAGCATGACTGAATTCAAGTTCACTTTAGCTCTGACTACTCACCATCTTACTGCACTTTACAGCACTTCCATAGCCTTAATAAGGCTGTATTGACGAATTTGGTCTTGTCCTTAAAACATTATTAGATTCCCTTCCAATAAAGCCCCCTATAAGACAGACTGATTGTATGTAGATGTGGTGTTATGTGCGCTGTAAAGTGTATGGTGAGATCTGAGTGGCAGGCAGACGAGGTCGATGATTAAGTTGTTAATCTTCTGCTTTATTGGACGCAGAGTGACAGAGAGGCGCCTCGGATCAATCAGTGCTTATGTAATCTCTACACACAAACCCCATGCAGGCGTTTTAGAGACCCGCCAAGACCCTGTACCATGCTCATTTACATCTACGTCTCCTCCTCCTAAAAGCCTCCTCTCAAATTATGATGTTAATTTTTTCATATACAATGTTCACTTATTCTTTCTAGATAAGGATATAATGTGCCGTGACAGGAGAGGGAATGTTACGCAACAAATCTCTTTCAAATAAGTTGTATATTTTGCATTTTTATTGTCCTGTCATGAGTTTAAGCAAAGGAGAGCGGAGTAACAGGAACAAAAGAGAGCCAAGACAGATTTTGGCAAGTAATTTTTTGGAGTTAGTTTTGTGAGAAGTAATTATGTTCACACTTTCTCCCCCTGAAGTATGCTACTGCAAGTTATCAGACTCTGCTTAGTGTATTATTTTGGCTTCATATCACTAGCCCATCCTTACACATTTATCCAGGCTTGGGGTTATCATGTAGGGAACACAAATGGTTTGACTGATGTAAATGGCATATGAACTCATCATAAAGACATTCAATTTAGTTAGTTTGCTATTCCAAATCATAGCAATAATGTTTAGCAGAGAGGTTATAAAGTATAAGCATACGTATGTGGTGCTCTATGATTATGTGTTAAAAGTACCAGTAAATAATGCATGGCTCCTCATTGTGTAATCATCTGTTATCACTTAAAAAGGGACATACTATATACAATAGTCTTACAAGCTATTTATCATGTTCTAACGGTGTTCCATCATTATTATTTTTCATGCATGTTTGAGTAATTGTCCTGAATCCAAGGCTTGAATGCTCAAAACATTTCTGCTTTTACTTGCACACCATATCTGCCCACTGCCCTGTACTTACCTGCATGTTTTCAAAGAAATTCGGACTCTTCTCAACACTGAAAAGACACTTGAAAATCATCTACTTGCTACAGGAGATTCCACTAAGAAGAGGCAGATCTTCTCAGTTCAAGTCAATGATTTCTATTAAGTCATTTTAGAATTAGATCATACTGCGGTTTACCATGAACAAAACCCTTCAGCAATGATCTATGTATGTTATAATTTAATATTACCTGAAAAATGCATATGTCTTCTTTAACAAGCTGCTCTTTCCTGATGATTTTCTAGTGCTTTATAGGTCTCCCGCTGGGTGCTGCTCACCCTGGTCCTGCCAGTCTCTCTTCTCACCCAGGTTTGCCTTGGCAGATCAATGGCGCAGCAGGAGCACAGTGTTTAATTGAGGCGTCCTGAGGGTGGAGGCTGTTTTAATGAGGGCTGGTCCTGCCTCCCTCCTGACCTTTGGAGACGGCTCCCGACAGGTGTCCATCCTCTCACTTTAAAGGGACGCATGGGCCCACAGGTCTACCCCCGAGCTGTCCCGCCGCTCCTCACCCCCACCAGGAGAATGACATTTCACTTGGCAACTCAAACCTAGAGGATATGTATTTCTTATGATTGTATGTTAGAGGACTGCTTGACATCTGGGGGCATGACATAATATAACCTTGACACAAATTTGGGGACCTGTTTTTCTCAGATAGATGTTATTGCTTTGCTTGGAATGTCCCACAGTATGACATTAAGCCACTATCCTGCATTTATTCATTACACAATAAGAGTTTTTATTGCCCAATACAATACAAATACACTAAAAAACACGCATTCTTACAATGAGTGGGCTCCCCTCTCCACAGTTATTACCTTTTAACTAGATTTGGCAGTGTTACCCACTTGTCTCAGTGAAGGTAGATGCGTTTAATGTCATACTGGGGAAAGTTACAGGTAAAACAATAACATTGCCATGGAGATGCTTGAAGAAATAACTCATCTCTGTAGCTTATAACGGAATAAGTAATAGAAAAATTATTTAACGAACTGCATAACAAATAGAATAACACCAGAACTAAATATGGTTATAAGTAAAGAAACATATCAGTTACAAAGATTTTTATTTAATTTCCAGAAATATGAATCACCTTTTTACTTCAAATGTAGTAAGTCAATGTGTTAACTGCTCAAATAGCTACAATCTTCAGTTATTTATAGGAAAATGAAAGAATGTTGACACAATATTAAGTTATTCAATCCAGGACACATTATGCGCGGCTGAAAGATTGACATTTTTTCAGATTTTCCAGATTTCTGTGCTTTTAGCCTTTATCGCCAAGTTATTAGAATGACTGGAATCCGTGTGTGGTATTCGATACTTGAAAACCCCTTTAACACAAGTACCTACCCATTGAAAGGCGACTGCATTCCCACAGCTCCACATTAGACAAAGATGGGTGCTTTTAGGTCACAATGGTCAAAGTCTGTGTGTCCTGTAACCATAGCAATGAATCAAGTATATTCTTTAAGGCATTTTTATCTTATAAGTGAGGTTTATAGAAAATTATAGTATGCAGAAATGGTTGAATGTTTACATATTACACATAATTTACACTTCACCCTACCAAACACACAAACAGAATTATGACAGGGAAAGTAACTGTCCAGCAACTGTTAAAATCAGGCCTACTTGTTTATGCTACAATTATTCCTTTTTCCCCCAACTCGAGATAGTTATTTTTTCTCTGTACTTTGAAATAGTTAGAGCACTGGAGATGTATTTTTTTGGTTGTTTTGTGGTTGTATTTTTTGTGTAGGTTTGGTATATATGTATGGTATAGACCAGTGACTGAAGTAACACAGTGCCACCCAACTTTGATTATGTGAACTGGAAAAAGTAACCATAATTTTCTTGGAAAGGGTCCAACTATTCACAAACAGGAAGAAGTTGATGTATTTTTTGTTTTGTTTTATTTTTTGTACAGAAAGCATGGTAAAGTAAACATTTTTTAAGTACATTATTAGACAGGGTCCAAAATGAAGGTTTTGGCAGCAAAGAGTCCTTAATAAAATGAAGTACAAGAAATGTATGTTGTAAGCAGTTTTACTATTAAAACAAAACTGTGCCAGGCTTCACTGTAAGATTAAACAAACTTAAAGGTAAATTATTGGCACAAGTTTCAGCTCCCTTTGGTTGGTCATTGAAAAATACTTGGAGCCAAATACTAAACAGGCGCACTTCAACACTGTCAGAGCATGGGCCATAGAAGGGACATGGAGAAGACTTAAAATACCTAAAATGAGTAACAGCAGATAATGTATTTAAATCTCTTAAGTCTCCTTTTCTATACTGATTTTATAAGCACACTACAATATAGGATAAAATTGGCAGTACTTTAACTTTACAGCACACTCATGGTAGGGTAATAGACAAAAATAGCAACGAAACTAAAAGTGTAATTATTTGGGCTGTGAAATTTATTACATTTTAATGGAAATTACAAATTGTCAATTGCCATTAATAGGCTGTTTTTTGTTTTTTTTTAATGCATGTGGTTTGGAGTTCAGTTACAGAAAAATACTAATATTATTACATTTTCTTTAATAGAAATTATTAAAATTTGGTATTGGAAAATGATTGTGAAAGACATACTACACTGAACCAAAAATCGTGATGGATCAATGTTTTGGTCATATCATAGCCTACTATGATAATTACTTATTATTACTACTAACAGCTACACATTGTACAACTCTTGGTAATATGACGTAACTTTATTTAGTATGAAGACTGTAAGTCAGCTAAGAACATGATCACTATTTTCTTGGTAATATTATGCAAACAAGGCAGGAAAATATATTGGAACCCCATTAATCTGGTTATTGTGCAATTTTCACTCTATTAGAATGCCATTATTGTGCTGTGAAGAAAATTGCAACCAACTAACCAACTGTGTGTATGCTTAGTAGTACATGTCCTGGAATAGGGTCTGCCCCAATTCAATGTACGCCTCTTTTTCCTGTGAGGACATCTGCTCAACCAGTTCTGGCCTCTCACTCACCACTCTGTACGAATACGGCTTTCCTCCTACCATCACCATGTGCTCCTCCCCGACCTCCTCAAAGTCATCATCATCATCCTCGTCGTCGGCCATGTGGCGCTGAGGGGCAGTGGGCGGGGCTGCAGGGGCTTCGTCGTCCGATTCGCTCGTATCACTGTCAGAGTCGCTAGCGTTAGCATTAGCTGCGGTTAGCCCCCTGGTGGCAGCAGCGGTGGCGGTGGATCCAGAGCCGGACACGCTTCTCTTTTCGTGGATGAGCAGAGCGCGCATCACTTCCTCGTTCTCATTCGTCTGTGCTCCTGCTGTACCATCTTGTGATCCTGGTACAACCTCTCCATCTGTGGGAAACAACAATTAAATTATGCTTTAAATAAATGATCTAAAAGTCAATGCTGCCTGTCAAATAAAGCTAGGTAGTAGGTAGGCACAGTATACAAGTGGTTTCCAAACTCTGGGACACATACCACTGGTGAAATGTAAATTTTATTCCTCCTTTGGGTTATTCCATGTTTAGAACTAGTGTAATCATGTTAAAGTGCTACTAACAATACAAGATACAAGGTCCACAACACATATTCTGGAACATTTTGGACATATACCCAAAAAGTGTTTTAAAGGTTTAATGAATTGATATGTTGCATTGTCCACAATCGCCTTAATATCAGAATACAATTGATTTAGAATACAACTCACTTCACAGGTTAGTATAGGTAAGAAAAAGCATGAATGAGAAGGCAACTTTCCAGTACCTTTTCAAAGAGGTCATGTAGTAACTTCCAAAAGCACTCAAATCATCAAGAACTGAATACTTTGTGAGACAAGCAATTTACACACGAAAGGGTTTATTATCAATCCTTACTCAACCATCCACTAATCAAGTCTCTGATTATTCTAAATTATGGTTCAGACAAAGTTGAAGCTGATTGCTGATGCCCTTGGGTGCAGGAATAACAAACTGAGAAAGGCTTAACAAGGCTGCCAACTTTTTTGACCCGATTTTGGTGGTTGTGATTGACTTTTCAGAAAAGGTCAGTAATGGCCATGCACAAAATTATTGAATTTGAGGAGTAATGGTTTAACTTTATTCTACTATTTTTAACACAAATCAAAAAATACATTTGGAATGGAAACAGCATCAGGATAGAGCTAGTGCATTGAGAGCTTTCTTATTTAATCACACTAGTACGGTTAAATGATTATTTACTTATAATAATTTACAATTGTGATTTATTTTGATGCTGCCATCAAAACACATGTTATTTGAAGAGATCCAGAAAAATTCTCAGCCAATATATCAGCCAATATCCTGGTTGGTCCTATAACTGAATGTACTACTTACTGGTGGAAGTAGTCCAACAATGTCTCATAATATTCATTCTGTATTTATTTGAGGAATAAAAAACATTTACATAACACATTTGAATCCGTTATCAATTAATATCAAGTATTCACAACTGAAACTGAAAAAGTTGGATTTGTGCCTGTAATTATTTGGATTTGGCTTCTTATGAGTCTAAAAAGCCACTAGGGAACAAAAAACTAAACGGGAACTACTCACGGCTCTTGATGATGTCCGGCTCTGTGTCTGCCCCCTGCACTGTGCTCTGAGTTAACCAGATGGGCCTCTCTTTGGGAGGCTTGCCCTCGTTGGCCTGTCTCTGCTGCTCGTCCATGCGGATATCCATGTTCTGAGTGTACAGGTCGGAGTAGGAGCCTTTGTTAGCCCAGGCCTCACGGTGTGGGCCGCCTGCATTCCCAGCAGCTGCAGCTCTTTCACGACTGGGAAACAGAAAATGGAAAATTGATCATTAATAGCCATTGGTCAACCAGATCAAAATATGATCACAACTAAATTAGTTATCAATGCATTTAGCTTCAATACATTTTGTCAAAAAACAAAATCCAAGGTCAATACTATATTATTTTGCATGTTTCTCTGCATTTGATCTATGCAAGAGTTGTTGGGGGTTTAGAGGGCTATACATGTTTTGTTTTTCTGTTGTTTTTAGGTAGAATCGGTTCCTTGAATTATGATTTGAGAGATTATACTGTATGTCTAATTATACTGATAGATCTGTGTATTCATGTTAAGTTCTAGAAAGTAAAAAAACTTAATTTAGAAAAGATGAGACTAAAGCTGGGCATCATTCATCAAAAGTCCAGCTGCCCAAAAAGCCTTTAAATCACCCACAATATAAAATATGCAATTGAAGTTGAAAGAAAAATTGTCATGCTTGGTAACATGAGTCTTCCTAGAAGGATTTATTTTATTACACAGAATGATTTGGGGAAAAAAGAAGATAATTTAATGAAAGAAAATAAATAATTTTCTTGGAGTCAGTAGCATGTAATGGGTGACCTTTTACATTAAATAGCACAGCTCTTAATAATAATTTACGAAGATGAATTAATAAAGGGCAAACCAGTGTCAGATTTGCATGTAAATTACCTCTGTTTGAGGGCTGGGATCTCTGTAGGCTCTGGCTCCAGTAGATCATGCGACAGGTTGATGTCTTCAGTTTCTCGCAGTAGTGCATAGATGGGCTCGATCTGCTCATTGAAGCGGGCCACTAATGTCCTGGCGTCCGGGCACACAGACTCGTCCTCTTCCACCTCCGTTTGACAGAAGGTGCAACGAAAGGTACCTGTAATTAACAAAGAAGGGGATTTTAAGATACCAAAAGCCTCCATGTATGAAAATATTGGACAAAGTTATGAAGTTCAGAGGTGACTGATAACACAATACCATGCAGCACTATGGAACATTGCAGGCAAAGCAATATCATCTAAATGGGGACAAGTAGGTAGTACTATAGATACAGCTTTTCTACCAGAAAAAGCTGTATCTATAGCATTTACATAACTAGAAAACATAAGTGGTTCTGTGTGAGACAGAAGAAGAAAAACCTGAATCAAAAAGAAGGCCCATTACTTTTTTCTAACAACTGCCAGTGTCACTACAAAGAATATTAAGTGGGAGGAGGATAAAGGGGTTCTAATTAACCTAGCATTTGTCCTTCATTCATTCCACAGTCAACTGTAGAAAGAGGTTTCAATTTTGATTGCTAATGTGACATGTGGTCTAGTTCTGGTATTTTGACCTTTAAAAGGACTCATTAAACATTCAGCTCAAGAAATTCCAACAGTAAAATATAAGCATTAAATGAGTTTTGTGCAGCCAACAGTTTAATAAAGAAAGAGCAATGCAGACCCTGAGGGAATAAAACTGCTTAAGGGGTTTGATTAATATTTTTAAAGAAAATGACCTAGCAAGCTTTTTTTGGCCAAGGCCAAGAAATTATAGTTTGCTTTAACGGCAATGACCTTTTGCTAGGGAGAATTTTATAAATATAATTACATTTTCCACTGTTTTGTGTAAGTAAGTGCATAACAAATCGCACACCCTTTTTCACTAGGGACGGCGTGTGAGGACAACTGCTTCTGCTGATTTTTAGTTTCAATAACAGCCTGTCTAGCAATGGCACAGAACCATGTGTTTCCTGGATTTAACAAAGAAGAAGAGAAGAGTAAGGTTACAGTGAGGGAAACCAACTGTGATGAATTTTGTGTGTCTTAAAATGTCAAGTTTCAAATCTTGAAAAGTCTGTAAGATATTTATCATGGCCGTAGTATACCGTTTTAATATAAATGATATTTCTTGTCATGCAACTGGAAACAGACTCACACACTAATCGGAATTAACTGTATACATTTTTTGTTAAAGATAATAATAATATTACCATATGCTTTTGAACAATGCCATCTAGTGTCAATAGAGAGAAGTAAGAAAAAATTATATTCTTCATGTATTATGGCTGATTCCTTGTAATCTAAATAAAATAATTAGTTGTGTGCCATTGACCGATTAATCAGTGACTAAATGACTAAAGGCCTACATCATGTATACAGATTTGAACATCAAGCAGCATATATAAAGTCTTTAAAATGATTAAATATGCATTGTTTTTTATTGATTGTCAATGTGTGCCTCAACATTTCTTATTTCCGGTTGTGTAGACTTGACAATGAGCTCACTCTCTTCTCCCCAAGAGCTGAATTACTGCAGTTACAGCAGGATTTGATACGAGCTGAGATGCATGGAAACAGGAGATGAGTGCAGGGCTATTGGCAAGTTTATGGTAAATGCATCACCAACAAGAAGATGCTGACTTCTCCAAAACTGTGCCAGGAAGGTTCCACTCCTCACATCAACGTTTGCTGCATCCATCTACAGGCAATACTGGCAAGCTACAGCCACCTAATTATTAAATATCTTCAATCAACTCTGCAGTGCTGCCTATAATTAGCAGGATCAGAAATTATTATGAGTTAGATGGATATCTGGCAAAAGGTAAGTGTCATAAAGTGGAGACAAAAGCCTTTCTGGCAAGAGACCTTGTGTATCCTAGCAACAGAGCAACTGCAGATCAATAGATATTTGTGAATCTGACATTGAACACTGTCAAATAAAAAATAAAAGTGAGGAGATTGAAAATAAGTGCTATTTTCAGGTAAAACTGATAAATTATGCATGAGATCAGTTTCTACTGATAATAACAATACATCCTACATTAACTGTAATCACTACAAACCATGTTATAACAAAGTCTATACAACTTCAAAGTAAAAAGTGGACATATCATGCTAATTTTGGCATTTATGAGATCTTATGCTTTTGTACACTTTGCCATTTGTATTTCATGCACTCTGGAGGTCAGTGGGGATGAAACATTTCCCATTTCCAAGTGAATAGATTTGTGTTAGAGCACCATCTGTTGACAACAATAGTCAACAAACTTTATTGATCCACAAGGTAAATAATTTGGACACAGTAGCTCACACAATCTGAATAAAATGTAATTAAGTGATTTCTGAGTGTTCAGCAAAAATGACTTCAAAAATATGATTCATGAAGTAAGTGTGGACAACTACTGTTTTTTTGAGGGAACATTATACGATAATTATTATATATATATATTTTTTAAACAATACAGTAAAAGATTGTGTTCAGTTGTTACCTGTCATAGGGTCAAAGAGCTGGTTGGCCTCTAGGTCTGTGAAAGTGGAGAAGCAGCAGGGGCAGCGGAAAGATGCTCTGTTTGTGGAGTCACGTTCATCAGTTTCAATTCTTCGCCGCATGTGATCCAATTTGTACTTGACCACATTCACAAGCACTCTGCACCACCATAAAACAAGAAAGCATTAGACAGACATAATTTAATTTTTTAAAATTACAAAAAGAATGCACGAATCAATAAGATCCATTAAGATTTAACATTAAACTTGTCATGCAATTATGGACTATCACAATTTCTTATTCAACATCTTCAACAAATGTAAAACTGTATTGTATTACTGTTTATTATTGTATTGTATTATATGTATTATTCTTTCACTCCTCCACACCCGATGGTGAGACATGGCTATTATTATTTATTATTATTATTATTATTTAACCACAACCTATTATCACTCACATACCACATTCATACTTTGGTAAGGTGAATAAACAGCAGAATGAAGCCGCAACCCTTATTTGACATAGCTTGTGCACCTGTAGTTTATAAAGTAATAGTTGTGGCGTGTAGTCTTCCCATCTGGGGCTGTTTCCACTCTCATGCGACACTTGACAAACTTGTCTGCCTTCAGCGTGTTGAGTACAGAGCGAAGTTGTTTGCGGTCGAACTTGAGCAGCTCCAGCATGTCCTCCTCTCGCACACAGGGGTTTCGGATCAGCACGTCCAGGGCTAAAGCGTGCTCTATCCCATAAAAACCACGCACCACCTGCTTGGCCAGACGCTTCAGCTCTGCAGGGACCTCTGTCAGTACCTCTGTTTCCATCATTTTCTGTGGACGAAAATGACAAAAAATATTGATATACTAGTATATGTGAACGTTTATGATACCTTTGTAAGGAAATGTTAACTAAATGCACATGGAATGATACAGAAACATTGATGTGAAAAAAGACACAAGACATTCTCAGGATACTGAAGCAAACTAATGCATGCTGGATGGACATAGGTGAACTTAAAAAGGTTGTAACAGAATTTGCCTGTGCCACGAACATTGGAGACAATGATAAATTAGATTATAACAAAAGCACGAACTATGGTTAAATATGAATACTAAGTTCTCAGATATTTGCGGTGTGTAGGCCCTTCCTTTCATACTTTAATGCTTAGCTTACCTTCAAAACTAATGCTAGCTCGAACTTACCGGTTTGTACAAAGTAGCGCCTTCTTTATGTCATTTCAGGACTTTTAAAGTTGTTACCACAAATGCACTTCTTTGGACATTTATTTCAGAGAGTACGCAGATATTTAAACCACTGATTCCTTTGTATTGTGGATTGTATTTCACCAACATGTAGCACACAAAGCTAAGCGCGTAATGTTAATCAAAAAAGACCCCGGAAAGAAATGTGGATCTGTAAAGCGTATTTGTCTCACAGCCAATCAAATGTATAATCTTTGATGGACAGAAACATAAACCAATTACCTTGCAGTATTTTGCACCAGGCCATCAGGTTAAGCCAATCATAGTACATACGGAGGCGGGGTTTAGATTGTTTTCTTCCGGTATCTTTCACCAAAAATGGCTTCACTTGACAGGGTAAAAGTTCTGGTTTTAGGGGATTCTGGTGAGTTAAATAACAATTGTTCGTGCCATTTCATTCCAGAAATATAACAAATACCCTTAAAATATATGCTGAGTTTTGTCAAACGTCTGACAACATTTTACTAGTGACTCTAGCTTTACTACAGAGTATCTGATTCATGGACCAATTTATGTCGTAAAACATATGCTGTAACGTAGTTGTTTGAGTTGGTATCAGACTGATGAATTTGTTTTTCCGCAGGTGTGGGAAAATCGTCCTTGGTTCATTTACTTTGTCAGAATCAGGTTTTAGGAAATCCATCTTGGACAGTGGGCTGCTCAGTGGACGTACGGGTAAGTGATCAGCCTTTATATCCAGTCCTATTATTGTTTATATTCAGAGTCAGAATTATTTATTTAACCCCCAGTGGAAATTATTTTCGCTTCTAAAACAAAGTTGGATCTTTCTATTCAATTAAGAACATATAACATATTTTACATACACTACCAGCCAAAAGTCTGGACACAAAATATATAGACATAGATAGATAGAGATGAGATAGAGCCTCCACATGGCATCACTATGAATGAACACAGATGGAATGTAGCAAATAAAAAAATAAAGTCAGGACAACTCAAAACTCAAAATAACTCAACTCAAAATAAAATATATAGATAAATAGATAGATGGATACAGATATAGATAGATACCTATATATATAGATCTATAGATTATGTTTTGATTGGTAGTGTAGATGACATGACTTTTGTGAAAATGTGACAAATACTTATGCAGATACATGATTATAAAGAAGGAACTCCAGAAGAAAAAACATATTACATTGAACTCTGGGATGTTGGCGGGTCTGTGGGCTGTGCAAGCAGCGTCAAGAGCACCCGGGCTGTCTTTTACAATTCTGTCAATGGTATTTATTTACTCAGTTGTATTTAATTATGTAAGTAGTCGTTCATGTTATATAACATGCAAAAACATTTTGGATCATTTCCTTCAGGTATTATATTAGTACACGACTTGACAAATAAGAAATCTTCCCAAAATCTTTACCGATGGTCTCTAGAAGCACTGAACAGAGATTCATCACCTACTGGAGTTATTGTGTCTAATGGGTTAGTACTTTTTTTTTCAGAACATGTTAAATGAATGCTAAGATTAAGTCAATTTTTAACAATTTTTTTCTATCTTTCAGGGACTATGACAGAGAGCAGTTTGCTGAAAACCCAGTGCCTTTGCTCTTGATAGGCACTAAATTTGACCAAATTCCAGAAAACAAACGCAGTGAGGTTCTGACTCGAACAGCCTTCCTCTCTGAAGACTTCAACGCAGAAGAAATTAATCTAGTATGTGATCTCAGACTAAGTTGTATATAGACATACTGTCTATGAAAATCTAATAAAAAAGGGGAAAAAATGCTTGTTTTTTTCACTGTAAGGTATGACTGCATTACGCAGAGGTGGCATAAAAATAATTGTTTAGTTCAGCAGATTTATCACACTTTTACACAAGCTTAGTGTTCAGGTTACAGTCATTGCGGAACTACTATACAAAGAGTGTGAGACAAAGATGTAACACCTTTTAGGAGAAACAGTTCAAATGACAGTGTTTTTTTGTTTTTACAGGACTGCACTAACCCACGCTACCTCGCTGCTGGAACATCAAATGCAGTCAGACTGAGTCGATTCTTTGACAAGGTGAGAAGCGTACAATGTTACAAAGTGTTTTACCTGTTTTTCAAAGACTAAAGTTGAGTAAGTCATGCCAACCAGCAAAACAATTTAAATTATAGTATAGTTGTTCATGTCTATATGTCTATTTAGTATTAGCTGTTCATGTCTATATATGTTGGTTCTACAATTAAAAAGCAGACCGAGCTCCTCCTTTTAGGTTGCCAGATTCTACCACACAGTATTTGAAATTCAAAGATTTGTCAAATGTAGAGAAAGGATTTAATGTTAAGAATTGTCAGCTGTTTTGATCAAATGTGAAATTCTGGTTTCAGTTTGAAAACTTTCAGGGGATACATTAGATTTTTCTTTGTTTTATTGGACTTTTATTTTTTAATTTTTTATTTTTTATAGGTTATAGAGAAGAGATACTTCACAAGAGATCCATGCCAGGTGACTTTTCTATTCGTATATTATATTATGTTATTTTTATTGTTTTAGCAAACATGCAGACCGATATGGCATCATATTTCATAAGTATATCGAAACATTAAATTATCACAAAAAATATTGGTTTAATTGAAGTTATGCCTTTACTTTCTCTCCAGATGACAGCGTTTACTGACAGGAAGAGGTTCAACTTTAAAAGTTTGCACTATGACTAAGCCCAGAGACCGCTGTGCATTCTGTGGTTTGGCTTAATTTTCACCACCAGTTTCACTTACTAAATGTACTGGATGGATGGATGGATGGATGGATGACTTTTTACCTTCAACCTTCAAAGATGTGGAAAGATTCAGTAAAGTGTACTAAAACATGTTTTAGACCAAACTTTATTTTTTTAATCTTTATTGGTTTGTGATGTCAAGTTGAACTTATTCAATATACATACAGATCTTTTCCATACATTGTTAGTTATTAATTGACATGAAGACTTTAATCTTTACTAATCAAAGGTTTGCTCTCATTACCATATCCTCCTGTGACCTCTTTAATCCATGGGAGGAAACTGGAAATCTTAGTATAAGAATGAGGATATTTAGGATTGGTGCAATTACAAGGAGCGGTAAATGAAGCGATACCCTGAGGCTTGTTTTTGCAGATCAGAGGTGCTCCAGAATCACCCTGTAGCAACAAACAGAAACTCAGTATTACAATAGTAATGTATATACACCAATACTATATATAGTGTTGAAAAAATAAAAACTATGTATTATTACTTGGCACATGATTCCTGCCTTCTTATTGAATTTGGTGCAGATCATGTGTTCTGTGTTGAAGTAGTCTTTCCAAATGTGTCTGCATTCAAAGTTGAACTGAATCTTCTCCTGTGCCTCTCGGAGCACATTAGAAGCAGGGCTGTCTTCGTTGGGCTCTGTTTTGCCCCAGCCAGCCACAGTACATTCTGTGTGGGCTTTGATAGTTTTGTCTTTTTTTGGTAGATCAATAGTTTCAACAAACTCATTTAGTTCGGCTTGTTGTTTTAGCTGCAAGAAGGAAAGTTTTTGCAAGGTGAAACTCACACCTTTCACCCACAGAGATGTGTCAGTGCTGCAAATACTGCACAGTAAATCAACTCCTTACCTTCAGAAGCATTATATCAAAGTAATATCCCTCTCTCTTATATTTTGGATGCTGGAAACATTTTTCCACCTGAATCTTCTGCTGACTTTTCTCCGGCTTTGTTATATCATGAGCTCCCAGAACAACCATCATTGACTTAGGACTACAAAACAAATAAAAATAAACAAACAAACAAAAACATAAATAATGTGCACATAACATACTAGGCCTCTTCTTGAATAAAATATACTAGGTTTAAATATGAAATACTTCTACCATGTACAGTGTGCTGCAGTTAGCACAAAGTTGTCCCGGATCAGAAATCCTCCACAAAAATGACTGCTAGTCTGGAGTGAGGCCATGTATTTTCTTGAGTGAGGTTTTGCAATATTTCCACCAACTATCCCACTATCACTTCCCCCTAAAATGACAAATATCATGTATTAATTCATAATACACTATAAATTACTGTATTTTAATTACGTCTACTAGTATAATCATATAAATCAAATATTTGTTTAATCTTACCAGAAAGTGGGATCAGGCACAGAACAATGATAATACAGTGAGTACTCATTGTTGCAGTTGCAGAAAACCAACAGCCCACACAGCCATGAGCTTTTAACAAGAGACCACCACCCACAGAGGAAGTGTTGTGGGTAGGTCCCAAATCTTTTTCTGTAAAAAAAAAAAAAAATAGAGTTAACAAACAAAAAATCTAGCCTATTTATTTATTTAGTATTTTTCTTTCTTTTTTATAAGTTTATAATTTTACCTGGTTATGCATGAGAAGTAGATTGCACAACTGTTACATTGCAACCTTAAGGTTAACAAGGGCCAAAACTTCCACCTACATTAAGTGAATAATTTTCACAGGTATATTCTGACATTATTCCACAGACAGTCATGGTTAACACACTATATATATATATATACATATATATATATATATATATATATATATATATATAATATACATCTGCAGCCTTTTACCATCTAAAAAACATAGCAAAAATCAAAGGTTTACTGTCTAAAGCAGACTTGGAGAAACTTATCCATGCATTTGTCTCCAGTAGGTTAGACTACTGTAATGGTCTGCTCACTGGTCTCTCCAAACGAGCTGTGAGACGCTGCAGAACATCCAGAACGCTGCAGCTCGGGTCCTTACTCGAACTAGGAAGTACGAGCACATAAGTCCTGTGCTCAGGTCTCTGCACTGGCTTCCTGTGCCTCAGAGAACAGACTTTAAAGCAGCTCTGCTTGTACAAGTCTCTTCATGGCCGAGCACCAAAGTACATCTGTGACATGTTAGTGTCATATGAACCATCTCGCACTCTGAGGACCTCAGGGACCGGCCTCCTGCTGGTGCCCAGAGTCAGAACTAAACAAGGGGAGTCAGCGTTTCAGGTTCATGCAGCTAAAACCTGGAACAGTCTTCCTGAACATGTGAGACAGACTCTTCTGTGACGCTGTTTAAATCCAGGCTCAAAACATTTCTGTTTAACTGTGCATATAACTGAAAGGTTTTCATTCCGCACTCTTCTCTCCAATTTATGTCTCTCTTTTTTAATTTTAATCTTCATGATTATTTATGTTTTGATTTGTTTTTATTATGATTTTAATGTATTTCTTATTACATTAATGTATTCTTATATATATATATATATATATATATATATATATATATATATATATATATATATATATATATATATATATATATATATATATATATATATGGGCTATGAATTCACACGTCCCAATAACCCTAAAAGAAGAAAATGTTACGCATTATACACATCAAAATGCAAAAATTTAAAAACTAATAATACCACATCCATAGAGCAAAATTCGCAAACTTTATTTTCCATTACTAAATACTACTACTACTACGACTGCTACTGCTACTACGACTGCTACTGCTACTACTACTACTACTACTACTACTACTACTACTACTACTACTACGACTGCTACTACTACTACTACTACTACTACTACTACTACTACTACTTATTAATAGAAATAAATCATTATTTTCAATAGATTCAACACTTATCCTGCAAAAAGGCCACTTCAATAACCAACCAAAGACTTAATTCAAAGTAAGTAAGATGTCCTCCTCCCCCAATTCAGTCGCTGATGCATCTTTGATTTTCAGACAGAAATGACAAACCTTTAATTTGTAAAATTAGTGTGAATATTGTTTAATTCTTATGTACGTTTTGACTATGTTGAGCTCTGGGTTTTGTTTAGTCCTGAATTATTTTGCTGAACCTGGATGCTGAGTTGTGCCGAGTTGAAAGTGTTTATCTGAAGGGTAAAAAGTTAGTATTTCTGCTCTATGGTTTGCTGATTGCACTTAAGGTCATTTACCACTAGATGGTTCACTATCAACACGTGTAGACGGTAGTCTCTTTTCGCTGCGGTTTGTGGACACTACTTGCATCCAACCGAATGTTTTGTTGTAAACACATGCGCATAATAATCCACGGGGATGTGTCGACTGACAGGCTAAAGATTAACTCTTGTAGGATGGCTCTGTTTACAGCTTTATCAATTTGCTGTAAGGGATATTTTGTGCATTCTTTTTTGTGGATCAGTATATTTAGAAGCGTGAAGAATCCCTCAGTCGTCCAGGTAGGATCCACGTCGAGGAGAAAATTCAGTTTGTCGACTAGCTTGGATGAGCTGCGAAACGTCTTCAACCCAACTAACTTTTGTCCAGTCGACAAACTGAATTTTCACCTCAATATATGTAGAAGCTTTAAAATTATTTATTTATTTTAAACGAAAACTACTAAAGATACCCGACTAAGTTCTGGATAGACAGACAATATAGTAATACAATTTATTCATTCATACTATTTTAGAATAGGCAATTAATGGTTATTGATCAATATAAAACACTTTTAATACAAGTTCACCAGTGCATTTGAGACTGAGAAAAATCTTTACACATGTTTGCACAAAAGTAAAGAAACTTTAAAAGACTAGGATTGCTTCTTTTTCACTGTCCTTCTTCCACAACACTTCCTGGTGCAGAATAAGCAGCATTTAACTGTCAGCCATACAACAGTGATCACAATGAGGGTTAAAAAGGCTATGACATCCAGGCAGAAGTACTGGATCCAGTTCAGGTCATGTGCTGCCACCCGGAGGTGACTGGCTCCTTTATGCCTCATCACAAACTCAGTCCAAAACACGGCCAGGTCCAACGGCTCGACAGGGCGGTCCGTGTGCAGGTCTGATAACTTTTTCATGTTCTCTTTGTAACTGCAGACAGACCAAACCAATAGTTAGCATATGATAGAGAATAACAACTGCCACTGACTGAAAATGTCCCTTTTAAAACAATGCAAGTATGAATGATGTCTGACTATGTACTTAGCTCCCAGTACTAAATAAATAAGCAACGAGCTCTGGGAAACCTCCATAAAGAAGGACCCAACCTGTTCAGCAGAACAAAAATGTCTTTTCTGAGGTGGCCTGAAGATAGAACAAGCTAAAATGTAACTGTAATCACAAGCGTGATTTATTATATATTTATTATTTATTGTCTTTATTGGATTCTCATCCATTCAGACCCCAAAGTTTTCAGACTGGGACCCCCAAAATAATCATGCAACTGGTCCTGGACCCCCACTTCAAGAGGAATTAGACGTAATTTCAATGTGCACAACATTTATGGTTAAATGTATACGTCTGAGTAGTTCGCTGTAGTAGTTGGGTCCTGATTCGTGAGAACCACTGGTCTAGCTCGTTATGAGTGGGGCATTGCCAGCTAGTTGTTAGTGAAGACTAATGTTCCCGGTAGTGGCAAAATGGCCTGATTGTTGTCTGTTTCAGTCATTTATTCACAGAGTAAACACAGATGCTGTAGAGTAGAAAGCTTCCTTCTGAGCAAATTAGAAAAAAATCACACAAAATGCTCTTCATGTTATTCTGAGATTACAAGATTAGAAATTTACTTTAATTTGTTATTTTAACTACAGAAAAAAATAATAATATGTGGTTAGGAGTGTCAACACTAATTGGTTAATCTATTGTGATTTTATAGGTCACCAAAATAACCAAAGAATGTTATATAAGTTTAGAAGCAAGTAAGTAATTTCTATTCATTATTATTATCACAAACTAGAGGAATGGGGGATCAGTTGTTGTTTTATCTTGTCAATAATGGTCAACTCTTTTTTCTCTCATAATAACCTTAACTTTAAAATAGTATATTGTGACAAGTGACATTGTTATCTGTGACCTACCTCTTGTCATTAAGTATTTTTCTCAGTGCAGTGACGATGGCATCAGTGGTCAGGTCATATATGAGAAGTTTTTCTGCCACACCCCTGGACACCATGCGGTGTACATTGTCCCGCTGGTCTCCGAACAGGGGGAACATGAGCATGGGCACTCCATTACAGATGCCCTCGTACATGCCGTGGGTGCCACCGTGCGTCATGAACACTCGGGCTTTAGGGTGAGCTAGAGGAACAGGACAGGAAAGTTAAGACTCTTATGTGAGTATTGGATAGAAATGAGAGTGGTCCTTGTATTTCACATTAGCAAAATTTGAAAATGTAACCAGTGAAATATGAAGTTAAGTACAGCAGCGCAGTACTGCTAAATCTGCTCTTAAAAATCTGCAGTATCACGTTTAAACATGATACTATACTAATGTTAAACACTATCTGAAAATTACACATAATTTGGGCATAGTATCAGGAAATTATGTGATAGTTTCCTGTTAAAACTATGGGAGAGGAATGACTTGAGTGACCCTCTTTATGTACAGACTGAGGCACGTAACCATAGTCTTCAGTGGCTCTAGTGCTAATTTATACATGTGGTTCCTGGGCAGGCTGATGTTATATAACAGCTACAATACACCCCCCCAGCTGATTGTTCTGAAATATATTTAGTGTGATAATAACTTACCCAGCAGGTCATTTTGCGGTAGCCATTTCGACACCCGTACGTTCTTGGGGGCATCTGGAGGGATTTCTCCTTCATATCTCCACAAAACCTAAAACAGTTTAAACAGTACATTGTAAAAGTAATTTATTTGTTTTTACAAATTGTTCGCTAGTGGGATGTTTGTTTGTTTTTTAGTGAAAAGTTGGCATTTTGCAGAGTAGTTGCATGTTATCACCAGGCCTACAACAGCTTGAGCAAAGTCCATTTTTCTGCTTAACACTAGCTAGCACTAGCAACAGAGAATATCTTTTGGTTAATGTGTAAATATTTGTCTGTACAGACAGTTCTTCAGTGAGTGCCAATTTAAAAGATTAGGTTAAGATTTCACCAAGTATAGGCTGGACAATATTTGCACAGCCCCACTACTTACTCTCTGGGGGAATTGTCTGAAGGCATCAAAGAAGAGTTTTGCAAGTTCCAAGGGCATTTTGGACACCATTGATCCCATGGTAAACACAATGAAGCCGTCCTCTCCAGATGCCTCCACAAACTCTTCCAAATCCTACAGGAAAAGCACACAGTTAGCTTTGTGTTGACCTTATTTAACCTCAGTGCAGTAGCCATGTGTTACGGAATGCAGCTCAAGTAACGACAGAGGTGACACACACCCGGAATTCCTTATGTAAACAACTAAACAACAAAACAGCTGAAGAGATGAAAGTGCTAGTGCTATGATACATGGGTTAGTTTAGGTTAATTAATACAATACTTTTGTCTTAAGTAATAGAAGGCAATAAAATCTCTGATCAAGTAAAGGTTTGTAGTAGTAGTGTGTTAATCACATCTAGTGTAAGGATGATAGTGTACTTAAATGGATATGTGGTTTTGTTTTAAAACTTTTCACTACTGCTGTAAACTGCTGAGATTTTCAAAGATTTTATGAACACAATAGTAGGAAAAGGGTTTGTATGGTAATTTCATTGTGTATGTCTCATTTGATCGTTGCTGTTAAAACAACTACTTCCTCAAATCTCATCAAGACAGTTTATTTTCTTGGAACAAATGAAAGGAAGCAGATTCTTAAGTAACGTATGATGCAAGACTCCATTCTGCATGTATCCAATCTAATATTACAGTACATGACAATACACAAGCATAACTAATTAGTGCATGTAGCTACTTGAATATTACCTACAGTTTGGCAAAGGAAAAAAGGTTTCTTTAACCAGAAAATCAAGATTAAAGCTGTTGTCTAACTCCAGGTCACAAGATGAAACACACACCTAACGCAATGTAAGCAGCTTTTTACAAGATATTTCTGCATTCATAGGAAAAGCAGTGGTGAATTGCATGTCTGGGTGATATTAGTACTCAATGATATTAGTACTAGTAATGATATTAGTACTCAATAGGGTCATGTTCTTGGGATTAGCTCAATGCAAGTTAACATAAACAAAAGAGATTAAAAGCTTGAGTTCTATGTGATTGTGGGGGTATAGGGCAAGAGCTGTGTAGACCTGAAAGCAGTGGGTCACCAACACTATTTCCAAAGGGCACGTTCACACTTGTCTTGGTTCTCGTGTGGTCACAGTTGGAGCCTTAATGTAGATTTGGTCTGGTCTTGTTCTAGTCCAGGTTTATTCCTTGTCTAGTCCAGTTTAGTTCCAGGCATACAGTAGTACCAGTTTTTTCTCAATCTTGATGTAATTATTCAAGAGTAAAAGGTCCAAAACAATCAAACATTTTTGCAAGGACTGAAACAATGCAATGACAATGCAACAGGTAGTAAAAATGTAATTTCCTGATTTTTTATTGCTTTAAGATAAACTGGTAACACATTATAACTACACCTTAATTAACCTTAATAAAGCATGAATTGATGATGCAGAAAATAGTGTATAAATAATGATTTAGGCTTAGTCACTTCTTAACTAAGATCATTATAAATCAAATCTTTCAACATGTTTAAATAAGGCTGTCAGTAATGGTAGCAATACATTTTTGTGGTATTTAAAAGTAGTAATAATAATAGTTACACAATAAAAAAAATAATAATAATAATAGATGTGTCAAATAGTAAAAACATTTTCCACATGTATTTAATGTTAGCCTCATAATTGTAGTTATCAAATTGTTTTGTTTGCATTGTTCCATTGCAACATTTTGGTGTATTTGCAACAAACAAGAATGTTCTTTATGGCCAGCCCAGACAAACTGTTGCATGAACCAGAAATATGTTGAAGCTGAAGTTAAAGTTGTGGCTGAAATTAAATTGTCGGATTGAAAAGATAAAGCTCATTATTTTGAACATGGTTAAGAATTTCAAGGACATTTTTTACCAGACCCCCAAAGCTTGCTGTTTTTGTCTTGAGTGGAAGCAGATTGGTGTGTTTCCAAAAGCAGAGTACAATATTATTACTAGACGTAGTAGTAGTAGTAGACTAGCGATCAGACAGCACACCCACTATTTCCCATTACCCTCACTGATTAGGTCCATATGTGTTTACTATACATTACCATACATTCCTTAGACACTTACCGCAGGCAGGGGGGCTTTCTTTGCACAGTTGATTCCTCCAATAAACACCATATTGGGCATGATTGGTCTTGGCCATTCAAAGGTGAAGTCATATCTGAGCAACCATATTGCGCCTTCACCTAGTAGTTGTTGGTAAGACATGTCCTTGTCAATGTATCGTCTGACCAGATCATCAAAACTAGCATACATAACAGTGCATAAGTATGTTTCCAGAGTGTAAAACAATGTATTTTTGACTCTTTGGGGGAAATTCATTTGATCTGTGTTGTCTGAGTAGAAAACTGGGATAAAGGATGGAGGAGAGGGGCATTGGTTAGCCCTCATGTCCAACTGACAGGGAAGTCCACGCAGAAAGTAAATAGCTGGGATGGAAAACATTCTTGCCAGCAATGATCCACAAGGGAGGAAGGGGTCAGTCAGTAGTGCTTCAAATTGCTCTCCTCTTAGCTGATCCATGAGCGCTTGGTTTTGTAATAAACTCTCACATCCTTTTGCTTGTAATGTTGTAAAACTCACCAAGCGGTTTACATTATCCATTAAATCTGTAAACTGTGGAGGACTGAAGAGCCCTTTCCTTAATTCGTTAAATTTGTTGTCCAGTTCTTCTCCGGTGTAAGGCACTTTGTACATGATCGTGCTGAAACTCTGCGAGCCCTTGATCAATAAGCTGGTTTCTGGGACTAGAACTACTACTTCATGTCCTCTGGCAACAAGTTCTTTCACCAAAATCTTCATGCTCAGCCAGTGACTTCCATCCACAGGGGCGACCAGGAGTTTGCCCCCCTCAGTGAGCCCCATGCTGAGGCAGAGCAGCAGTCCCAGGGCAGAAAACAACCTCATTGCCTCAGCTCTCCCTCTCTCTCCCTCTGTGTACTCTGCTCTGTGCTGTGTGGCTGTTTATACTGCAGGAAGCTGGGCTGTGTTTGAAGGCGGGCTGTTATGTAACTGTGGGAAGAGCATGGAGTCACACTGAGGAAACCAAGACACTCAAAATTTGCAGACTTTGTAAAGTTGCAATTTGACATATTTCAGTCTAATAAATCCAAAGCAACAACCGTAGTAGTAAGTAGTATAGTTAATAGTAGTCAGACTTACACCCACAGTTTCTTTACCCTCTTGTGTTTAGGTAAAGATGTGTTTACTATACATTATCATTTATTCTTAGCCCTGTCATCAAAATAAATTTTTGCAACAAACTCTTGAGAAACTCTTGAACTGCTCTGGCTGAATCATTTGCATGTGATTGGAAACGGGGCAACAGTGGGGTTTAGGGGGAACCATAGACAGGCTATGGCGGGAACCAAGCACCGAATGAACCAAGATGAACATGGCTACGGTGACAGGTGTAATTCAGCCTATTTTAGCAGCAATATGGACTATTTTATTTTTGAAAAAGCATGAGGACAGAAGTGCTTTGTGCATTTTTATATAGGTTAGATGCATGTGCTTTGCTCTCAATTGAATTTAAGTGGATGTGGTAGTAGGCCCACGTGACCTGAAACTTTAAAAGGTGGATCGTCACCTGCGCTACCTATGTTATTATTATTTATATAAGTTTTGGCGCTGTCATCCTGCCTCCACCAGTAGGTACTGGCTTCAGAACTGGACTAGAACTACTACTTCGTGTCCTCTGGCAACAAGTTCTTTCACCAAAATCTTCATGCTTAACCAGTGACTTCCATCAATGGGTATGACCAGGAGTTTGCCCCCCTCAGTGAGCCCCATGCTGAGGCAGAGCAGCAGTTCCATTGCAGAAAACAACCCCATAGCCTCCTCTCTCTCTTTCTGTACTCTGCTCTGTGCTGTTTGGCTTTTTATATCCACTACTTATACCCACTGGATAAACCGACGATCTGGTAGCATCTGGATGAGCCGAGTCTCTGTAAAACATTTGTTAGGGTGATGCAAGACTCTCCACCCAGCTCCAGACACACAGAGACATTGAAGGAAGGGAGGAGACGGCACAGGAGAACACAGGGAAAAATAGGAATTCTGAAATTTCATTCATTGAGATTCAGTTCTCATCCTATAAGCCAACATTCCCACTGACGTAAATGAATCTCCCCAGAGTGTTAATGCCTTAAACCTAAACCCCTTAGCCAAAGTAACTCATTATACTGTACCCATATGCTCTTTTTGTCTGGAAACCACCGCAAAACTAGACAACTGTTACTTATCTCTCCCCCTCATGCTTTTTTGTCTTGGGTGTTTCTTGGTCAGAAACTCGCAACCCACACATTGATTAGCAGAAAGTTTGGCAGTAACCTCTAATAATCCTCTGAACCCCCCTTCTAGCCCTCCAAACTTGTCCTCTATTCCTAAGTCATGATCTAGGAGAACAAACGTTTTGTAAAATCAACTTTCAACTTCATCCTTACCTTACCTATCATCCAGACTCACAAAATGTAAAGCCAGATGCCTTATACCACCAGTCATTGAAGAACCTAACTACCTGCTTGGTACCATTCTCCCTCCAATTCTAATTGTGGAGCACCTTGCCCTGTAGTGCACTGAGAGATTGAGAAAATTGTTCATTAAACTCAGTGCCAGGAGACCCAGGCAATGGACCAACAAATTGTTAGTTTTCTGCCAGACTCTGTCCATTCAGAAGTCCTCCAATGGGGCCATTCTTCGGAACTTACCTGCCATCCTAGTTTTAACCATACTCATAGTTTCTTTAAACAGCTATGGTGGTCAACCATGAACTTAGATACTTGTTCTTTTATTTTGTCCAGTACTGTTTGTGCTCATAGTGAATTCACCCATCAGCAGTCGGCTGGTCTTCTCCACCCTCTCCCTATTCCCAGCAGACCTTGGTCACACATTACAGTGGATTTGTCACTGGACTCCTGACTTCAGAAGGTAATAGAAGGTAATGTGATACTCACCATAGTGCATTGCTTCTCTAAATATGTACATTTTATTCTTCTGGCCAAGTTACTCTCTGCCACCGAACCTGCAATCCCCCTAGTCAATGTCTACAGGTTACATGGTATTCCCCTTGATATAGTTTATGACAAAGGTCCACAATTTAATACTCAAGTTTGGAAAGCCTTTTGCCTTGCCCTGGGATTATCTGTCAGCCTCTCCTCACATTACCACCCTCAATCAAATGGCCTAACTGACCAGGTTAGTCCGGACTTGGGTTTGCTTTGCACTGTGTTGCCTGACGCCATTCGTCCTCCTGGAGTAGGTCCTGCCCTAGATAGAATATCCAGAGGTCCTTGTGACCTTTGCTACAGGTATGTCCCCATTTATGGCCTGTTTTGGTTACCGACCATCTCTTTTCCCAAGACAAGAAAGAGATGTGGCTTTGCCTTCTGTCCAAACTCACGTCAGACACTGGTGGAATATTTGAAAGGCTAGGTGAGCTGCGCACAGCCTTATGGAACCAGGAAATTGCAGACTGCCAATGTCAACCAGCTCCTACATATCATCTCAGGACCTCACTCTTCAAGTGGAATGGCATTACAAGCTTACTTCAAAATTCATTGGTTCTTTTGTCCTTGTGGGTCCCATTTTGTTGTGCCATAACAATGGAATGTGGGTGTGGAGTAGTGGTGGTTGTTGCAGCAAAGTTTTGTACATTGTAAATATGGATGTGCAATCATGCGACCCAGAAAGTGCAGTAAAAAGCAACAGTAGTAATTGTAGCTGTTGTAGTAGCAACTTCAAGCAAAGAATAGTCTATGAGTACTGGTATATGGTGAGTGTGACTATTGATATGTTAATGATTATAATTAAAATACCTAGTGGAAGTAGTAACTGCAGTAGTAGCGGTGTCAATACTTATTGTAAGCAACAATAGCAGCTGCTGTATAGATTTTTTTAAATTGAAGTTAACCTTTAGTACATTTGACAATTTTACCTTTTTTACTAAGGTATAATGGTGAAACAACAATTGTCCTTTTGTTTTAGTTCTTACTTTACCTCTGATACACGTCAATCTGATGCTTTTTATGGATTTACAACTTTTATTATGTTGATTAAATTTTGTACTAGCATGTGGTCATAGTCATAATACTGTTCATTATATTTACTGCCTAACTTTCCATGAGAACTAGGTGGTGAATCTAATTGCAGCTTCTCAAATTACAGTTAGTATGTGTGCAAAGGAGACTGGGTCAAAGTGATTTGGGATCACCCTAAATCAACACTGGTGAGTTTGAACAAAGCACTCATTTGTTCTTTTGACCTTTGTATTGAATAATTCACAAAGAATCTGCCTTCTTCTTACATATTTATTTAACACGCATTTGTACTGAGATTTAAATTTGTATGAAAACAGATTTGCAAATGTATTAGTACAACTTTTCTGGCTGTCCCCACATTGGATGTGCCAGATTAACCACATATTATGGAGAATGAGATTAAGTAATGTGATAGTTATATAGATTAGGTTTAATATAGTTGAGTCAGTTACATAATGACATCACTGCTTTGAGACAATTTGCATTTAGGAAATCTTTTAAATGCTCTTCTGTTAGAATAGCACTATGTGGATTACAATGTAAATACTTCCAATTATAGTTGTTGTTTTAAAAAGTGAGTGGTTTTGTTTAGATATTCCAATGACATTATGTTGAAATGGTAGTCTGCCTTGGCCTCATTATATATTCTTACAGGTTTGTACAGTCATGCAATTATTGTATGTCATTTGTCAAATTACATAATTACGGAAGTCCATACAGTTATTCATATAACCTTTTTTCCATCAAATATATGTTTTGGTGCCACTTTGTCATGATAAATATATTTAGTCAATAAAAGCATGAAAAATGAACTAATTCTTTATTACAAATTATTCAGTCTTAGTAACTATAAGGGTTAGGAGTTGGGGTTAAGGTATAAATGAAGTAATTACTGCCTGAATGATTTTTGATAAATTGCTCATAATGAATTCTGCATTGGTATTTAAAGTGTAGATATTACTTAGTATTTTGAAGTTTAACATACTAGTTATAACAGCAAAAAATCTTTAAAACACTCATACTCTTCCCCTAAAACGTCTTCCAGTACCTCACTCTGTGTTGTGAGCCGTTACTAAATCTATGTCCAATGTCTGTCTGTTTACCTTGGCTGTGCCTCTGTCCCACATTTGACAAACAAAGCTTTCTTGAGAGCTGCTTGCACCCACCCACTGAGGACAGCATTGCGTGACTGCGTTCTCACCTTTTCTCCCTTTTTCCTGCTCACTCCTCTCACGCACATGTAAAACTCACTTTGCAACCACACTATTGCGTGCAAAGCGACAGTGTAATTGGACACCAAAAGCCCTTCTGAATGGTGGGGGTGATATCATCAAACTAACAATGAAATGTGTGGAATTTTGCTCTACCAGATATTACGTTTCCCTTTATAGACAAAATGCACAGCAAGAGTAACCCACATATAAAGAATGAATCAGCAGTTTGTAGGGGTAATTTGCTATTGATTGTATTGATTTATTGAATTAAAGGGAGACAAAAGGTGAATGAGCTTATCTTGTGAATGTTCCGGTTTTTCTTCACGTGTATTTCGGCAGTATGTACACAGGTCATGGCCATTTGCCATGTGCTTTGATATGTTTTCACTTATTGACATAATAGTAATATCACATTTGCATAAATGTAAGTTTATTTAATTAAAGAATAGCCTATGAGTATATGGTGAGTGTAAGTATTAATATGTTTATGTTATGATTAAAATACCTGGTGGAAGTACTAACTGCAGTAAAAAGTAGTTACTTATATGCCAGGAGTGATAGCAGCATCAAAACTCACTATGTGCAACAATAGCAGCTGCTTTATAGATTTTTACCGTATCTTTTGACAACTTAAACTTTTTTTTTTTACTAAGAGATAACATTGAAGCAACAAGAGTCCTTTTGTTTGAGTTCTTACTTGACCTCTGAT